AATGCGAAAGTTTAGATGGATGTTTGTTAGAGTTTGTAGCCTAAACGGCTGAACGGATTTCGATGAAATTTGGTATAGATGTAGAAGACAGTCTGGAAGAACACATAGGCTACTCACTTTTGTTATTTTTAATCCTCGCGAACGGAGTCGCGGGCGAAAACTTGTTTCAAATAATTTTAAAAGCGTGCACTCAACTTTGACCCTCGCACAAAAGTTTAGTCTCGCTTTGATTCCTATAAGCTTATATGGAGGTTACACTACAGGATTTTTAGTTGTGTAACTAAACAGTTGAATTTACTGCGAAAGTATCGCCAATCACACAGTTGTGCGATATTTTAGTCGAAGGTGTGAGCGCTCTAAAACTACTCCTATTGTTATATCCAATTATTGGCACAGAACATTGCTTAACAAAGAACAATTCATAAATGTGCCAGAAACATATATCTTGAATTACGGAAAAGCATAAATTTTGTGTCGCTGCAGCGTCCCAGTTTCTTTGCAATAAATCAGAGAGTAAGAACTTGAATACATCTGAAATCTGACCAAGTTTGCCTTTGACGAATTGACGACGCAATTTTTTAAAATATGTTCTTATAAAAGGGGGTTTCAAGTGACCACTTTAAGCACGCACTTCAATATGTTAAATTTATTTTAAATAATTTAAACAGTAAATTAATTTAAACGCTAGTAAAAAAGTAAAAAAAAACAAAAGTAAGTAAATAAGTGTTCTTCCAGACTATCCTCTACATCTATACCAAATTTCATCGAAATCCGTTCAGCTGTTTAGGCTACAAATTCTAACAAACATCCATCCATCTAAACTTTCGCATTTATAATATTAGTGTGATTTAAAAAAAGATATCTTACTAGTAATAAAAATCTTCTCCAACGTCTAAGATATCACAGAATTTTAAATATAACTTGAGTAGAAAATACTCTGAGTAAGTATTCAAATAAAATTCCCTTTGTAATAGCATCCCCAAGACATGCGGACGAAACATTCGCTGAGGCTTTTAGGCGCAATAAAACGAATGCATTTGAATACGGCCCTGTTTTATGTCGTGTCATAAATAACTCCCACCACTCAAGTTACTTAACATGTTTAAGTAATAGAAACGCAGATGGAAACATTTGTTATTGGAAATAAATCTTTTCTTGTACTTGCGTTTTCTTATTAAGTAACAAATTGCATAATTATAAAATCTCTACTTTTTAAATGCAACCAATAGATAGCGCTCTCTCATAAGAGTGTAAGGTCAAGGTTATATATTTCTTCTAAGAGCAGATTCAAAGGAAACAAAGCGAGTCAACAGTTGTGCGATAGATTAGTCAAATGTGTGCGCTCTAAGACACTATCCTACATGTAACAATTTTATTCTTACCCGAGAAAGTAAACGTATCATTAATGACTGCAATATTTATTGCTGCACTTTACGCCCGCTAGGGGCGCTGCACAAATAACATGCTTTTGTCAATATTACGAAAATTTTTTTGCAAACCTGCTAGCCCTTGGTAGCACTTAAATCAATTTAAAATCAAATTACTCATCAATTCCATTTTAAATTGCCTCATTCGAATTTCTGACAGAAACAAATTGACAAAGGTATATGTAAATGCGTCAGGAAAGGAATTGTTAATATACTAGCTTTCCCCGCGACTCCGTCGGCGTGGATTAAAAATAACAAAAGTAAGTAGCCTTTGTGTTCATCCAGATTATGTTCTACATCTCTATCAAACTGTAACAAACATCCAACCATCTAAACTTTTGTTTGAGTTTTTGACCGACTTCCAAAAAGAAGGAGGTACTCAATTCGTCTGTATGTTTGTGGACAGATTTTGATAATCCTTTTTTTATCCGAAATTAACTTGCAGGTGGGTCCCATTTTCTTTGTTTGATTTTTGGAGTCAAAGACTACGAGGTAGTTAAATAGTTTAACTCAAAATCGCGTGACGAAATTTAGGGTCATTTTTGCTTTCTTTGCTTATTTTCAATTCTTTGTTTTAAAAATAAAGGATTCCATTACACTAAGGTAGATTTTCGTTTTGTTAATTATAGCTGTCGTGTCGTTAACGGATGAAGGGATTTTTTTAATCAAGAATCTCCCTTTTGTGGAAATAATAAATTGCGCAAATGCGAGTGATGTCCCGAAGTTTTCTAATTTTTCAAATCCTCCGCTCTGTCATTTTTTCCGCCCCAGGCATAACGCTTCTGCCTAGAAATTTTTATTGCCCCGGAATAATTTATTATAGTGTTTAATATCTTATTTAGTTTAAGAGAAAGGTTATTTACTTGGAAATACAATATTTTTTTAATTTATTAACTGCCAAAATTATGTTTCTTTCTACAGAATACTTTGAATGTAGTGTGCATCATACTAATATTATAAATGCGAAAGTTTAGCTGGATGGATGTTTGTTACAGTTTGTAGCCTAAACGGCTGAACGGATTTCGATTAAATTTGGTATAGATGTAGAGGATAGTCTGGAAGAACATATAGGCTACCCACTTTCGTTTCTTTTTAATTCCGCGCTGACAGAATCGCGGGCGAAAGCTAGTATTAAAATAAAGTAAATAAAAAACAATTTTATGTATAAGCAACTAAGTTTTACAATGGATGGATGTTTCTCACTACATATGTCTAAAACTTACAGGATCTAAAGGAGAGGCTAATTACAAAGTTTACTACTTACAGACGAAGTCGCGGGCGAAGTATAATTCTAGTGTTTTCTTTGTCAACTATCAATAGAAAACTAACAAAACTATACTTTTGTATTACCGACAATATAAATGTAAATGTACAAGAGTTGCTGCCTCATAAAATGTTAGAAGGAACTGATTAATATTTATTTATTTTATTTCTTACTTTTATGATATCATAAAACTTCATATAGACTTCTGTACTGCATTTTATTAAATCTTGCGCTCCAGTTTTCTTTAAATTACTTTTATTATTACTTTAGCTTAGAAATACACTAGTAGATTTTATTATTAATGGCGAAAAGGAATCAATACACTTTATACATTATTTCTTTAATGTTATCAAAATAAAATCCAGAAGTTAAAGAAATAGATATAGGCATTGTGTTTATCTTTAGCTTACTAATATTATAAATGCGAAAGTTTAGATGGATGGATGTTTGTTAGCGTTTGTAGCCTAAACGGCTGAACATATCTCCATGAAATTTGGCACAGGTTCAGAGCATAGTCTGGAAGAACACATAGGCTACTTTTTATCCCTGGAATAGTTACGGTTCCCGTGGGATTCATTAATTTAGTTTTTTAATGTTTACGATCATTCTGCAACGGTTTAACATATCTTATTGAAATTTGGCACAGATATAAAACAAAGACTAGAGTACACATGGGATAAGCTTCATCCCCGAGAAATTTCCAGTTTCCGAGGTATACGTAGCTTTTTGTAATTTATATAGTTTGTATGTTTTCTAATACCACGCGGACGAAGTCGCGGGCAACAGCTCGTAATATTATAAATGCGAAAGTTTAGATGGATGGATGTTGTTACAGTTTGAAGCCAAAATGGCTGAATGGATTTCAATGAAATTTGGTATAGATGTAGACAGTAGTCGCGTTTGTTTTTTATTTCCAGGCGGACGGAGTCACGGGCGAAGAATAGTAAATAAATAAAAGTACATTTCTCGTCAAGTTTTTATTATTAAAAGCCAAAAAACTTACAATACAAGTACCAAATTATTAAATCTTAAATACAAGAACTGATTTTACATAAGATTAGGCAAAATTATACGGAAAACATATGCAATATATTTAAATATATAACAAACACTGGAATTTTTTTCACATATTCATTTTTAAACATCTCATTAAAATCTACAACATTGATTTATAATTCTATTAAAAAGCACACGAAAATGAAAATCACATTCAAAACCAGGATTTAAACTTAACTCTATTTCAAACTAAAACTACGTCGCTAGTGTTAAATCAACACAAAATTAGACATATCATTTAAAGGAATAAAACATGTATAAAAATAAGAAGAAACATTTAAATTAAAATTAAAATTACTCAAGGAATTATAAAAAATAATTAGATTTAAAAAAAAATGTGGAATTAATTACTTTTAAAATAATCAATGTTATCCTTTTTCACACTATTTTTTAATTAATCACAGATTAACTACAATAATTAATTAAAATCGTAAAAAAACAATACGAATACGCAAATAGGTGTTAAAAAATCAAATATCACAATAAATACTTGCGAGAACTTAATTTATACTACTATAATAAAGCGTAAACACACTTTCTTGTTGCCTAAGATGTCAGCAATTACAACATGTTTTTGAATAATCCTTTTTTTAATAAAAAGCCCTACACTTACGTCACGCTTTAGACTATATGTTTTCACGCTATTAAACTTAGTAGGTAAATAAATTGGATAAAAACCCTAATTTGGGAAAGAGGAAGCAAGATTGCTATGGATTGTCATCATGTCATGCCATTTTGACATTTGCAATTGATAAATAGACACATGTAAACGACAAAATAAAGTTTTTATAATAAACTGCGGATGAAGCCGCATGGGAACAGCTAGTTATATACTAAAGTCGCATAGGAAATGAGAAATTATATCATATTAAAAAAAATGCCTTTGTAAAGCTATAATTACAAATTTTTAAAAATAAACATGTTTCTATCAATTTCGAAATTAAAACTTTTTTAATAATTCCATCGAAAAAAATCAGCCAGTTATAATTTCTCATTTCTATTGTTATGGACGATACACGTCAAAGTGGAAGACAATGTTATCCTTAAAATAAGAAACAGTTACATTAATTAGACAATTAAATTAAAAATATAGAATTATATCTAGTTAAAGTACAAATGATTCGTTTTATAACTTAATTCACTTAAAAATATATCGACAACTTACAACAACAACAACTTACAACAAGTTTCAAAGAATGAGATAAAAGAAATTAGTTTTTCATTAATTAAAACTACTGGTTATGCTTGAGAAAATGCTCTTGAAGTATAATTAAGAAACTATTTACTAAGACTATCTTAGGCTAGCTTGAATATTTTTTTGGTGAATTTTGTTCATTTACATTCCCCGTTGCATTCGCTTTTTCCGCTAACCTCCTTCTATATTCTTCCAAGGTGATTTTTTTAATTCTTTTTTCTGTTGTTTGCTCCGTTTTATCAAAATCCGGACCAGTAACCTCCTTTGTTAATTCATCACTCAAGCTTTCTTCAGAAACGTTTATAACTTCTTCATACATATTTTGAGTGTCTAAATCCTCACTTTTTACGTTTTCATTCAAATCCATTTCATTTAAATCAGACGCGAAAATGTTCGATTCAATATCTTCCACAGAGTAGTCATTGTCAGATACACAACTACAATTAAGATATTTACTTATGTTCCGTGATCCGATATCAGTATCTAGTGTTTGGAATGGCATATTTGTTAGATTTTTTCCAAAATCATCCATAGACAAAAGCAAAGTTTCAGAATCGTGGAATCCATATATTTCTCTATCACGATTTTTATCTGAGAATTGATTATCATTTGACATATACGTGGTAAAAGAATTATTATTTGGATCTCCGCTAAGATCTCGTCTTCTCCAAATCGGATTGCGAACATTTCTTCGTTTCTTCTTTTGACGTTTTGAATTAACAACAAATTTTGGTTTATTTTGTATTTTATCATCTATAAACTCTCTCCATTCACTCGTATCATCAAACACATCACCCATCGTATAATCATCATCGATTGTGATATAATTTTTATTTAATGCAGAATTTTCATTAGTTTGAGTTGATATTTCTCTTTGAGAAGTTTGGCGCTCCATTTGAAATACATTTTCCGTATCTAGTAACACTTTCCAAGTGGTATAACTGTAGCCATCCTCGCTCTGACTAACTGATATCAAAATATAACATTCATTAGAGGTTTGAGTACACTTATCTTTTGTACCACCAGTTGTGTCTGCGCTTGCTTGCTCTATGTTGAAATTTCCGTTTTTTACATTCCTGTCGCGCAGTTTTGCCATTATGTTTTCTACTATTTGAGTTATTTCCTCCATTTTAAATTTAAAGACTGTCTGTATTTCCAAATCGTTTGAAGAAAGCTAAACTTTTGTTAGTATTATTTGATTCGATATTAAAACGGTGTTTCGATAAATTCTTGAATTTGATAACACAGTCTGAAAATAAAGTAAAAAAAAAAATAAAAACGACTGAATCTTAATTGAAACATTGTAAATATATACTTAACTAGACTAACTTTAATTTTGTTAAAATTTTAATAACTAAGCGATAACAAATTTATTAATTCAAAGTGATGACAAATTTGACAAAAAAAAAACTGAATGTTTTTTTCCTTTTTGTGGAGAAACGAAACTAAAGAGCTTTTATCTATAAATATCGCGGTAATATTTCTAGTCGAACCAACACTTAAAGTAATAAATAAATTCAATACTAAATCTGTTCTATTATTCCTGTATTAGCTGTTCCCATGCGACTTCATCCGCATAAAATTGTGAAAACTTTATTTTATTGTTTACATGTGTCAAATTATCAATTACAAATGGCAAAATGTCAAAATGACAAACCATGGCAACCTTGCTTCCTTGAAGTTGACAGTAACTTATGGTCTCTTTCCCACATTGGGCTTTTTAACCAAAATATTTACCCCCTAAGTTAACAGCGTGAAAATATATAGCCTAAAGCGTGATGTAAGTGTAGGGCTCTTTATTATAAAAAGAGTTATTAGAAAATATGCTGTGATTGCTGACATCTTAGGCAACAAAGAAGTGTGTGTTTACGCTTTATTATAATAGTATAGGTATAGATTAATAGAAAGAATCTAAATTTTTCCATAATAAAATATTTTACACAAAATAAAACTAATGATACAACTAAATCATACTAATCATACTAATATTATAAAGGTGAAAGTTTAGATGGATGGATGGATGTTTGTTGAGTTTGTATCCTAAACTGCTAAATGGATCTCAACGAAATTTGGCATAGACGTAGAGGATAGTGTGGAAGAACACATAAGCTACTTGGTTTTGTTTTTTTTAATATCACGCGGACGGAGTCGCGAGCGAAATCTAGTTAACTAATAAAACTAATAATTAAGACTTACCAAAGATTCCTAGAAGAGACAACTTGCAAATGTACTCCCGAACACAAATAAATATTATTACAGCCGGCTCTTTCTTTATATACTTTATCAATGTACTGGGATAGTCAAACTTTTTTCACCCTTATTTTTTTTTAATTAACAATAGACACTAAATCTGTATCTACATCTCTACCTATACTAATATTATAACGAGGCAAGACTTGTTTTTTTTTCTATTTTTGTATGTATTGAAATAACTCAAAAACTACTTGTTCGATTTCAAAAATTCTTTCACCATTAAAAAGCTATGTTATCGTTGAGTAACATGGGCTATGGTTTTTATTTTTTTTTTAAATTTCGCGCAGACGAAGTCACGAGTAATCTCAAATAATAAATTAGCATGTAGCCTAGTAGCCTATGCCTGTAACCTGTAGCCAATGGCTACCCATTATTAGACTCCGGTTGTCTTTCTGAGACTGTATTTCACTGTTATTTTCAAAGACAATCACTCTATTTATTTCTAAACATTATTTTGCTATTCGATTTTCGCAGGTAATTTTATATTAATTTCAGTCACTAAAATAAAACCAAAGAGAGATTAGAGAAATTACGATCATTTATCCTTTACGTATTACAATATAAGTTAACTTTGGGAACCACTGTCAAATAAATCTGGGAATCGTAATATAATGCAATTAAAAGCTGCATATGCAGTTTGTACCTAGCGTATTGAGTTACAATGTGCATTGTATACCTTGCTGCCTTTATAGAAAACAATTCTTTAATATATCGTTTTTCCTTCCTTCATTTGCTTACGTGAAAGAGCACATTTTTTAAAAAATGTGCGTCACGTAATGTAGGTTTCATCAGGAAAGCTGACGAGGGAAGGTCATCACTAGTGTTGTATCTCTAAATATTACGAAACATAAAACTAAAATTGATGTCGTGGTTATTGAAACTGTCTTATGCGGAGACAGAAAAAATCCTTAAAATAGTGCAGTAAGTAGGAATAAATAACAGTTTATTACTTCTTTTACATTGTAATTATAGCTGAATATGTTTGCCGTCTAATGATGTATAGTATTTTAATTCACCCGAAGAGCGGGGTCTTCGCGACACAGGCTGTGCTTAGTGCGGGGACCCTGGGTCAATTGTTTGTAACAAATTTAAAGTTAAATAAATGAATTTGTTATTTGTTATTATTTGTTAAAGTATTGTGTAACATAAAATATCAGCTGGGAAACTGAATTTTAATTAGACATCCATAAATTATGCTAGACATTGTTATAAATCACTGAATAGAGTTTTTTTCTTTTCATTTGAGGGGAAAAAAGGTGATTGTATTTAAATTTGATGTATTCATGCTTTTTTTAATGGTTATCAGGATGTTGAAGGGATTGATAAAGAAGTGGTAGTTGCTAAATGCGTTAAAACGCCTGTTATCGGGTCAAATAAGCTTGTCGCACTATACTTGACTAGATCGTAAGTATAGAGCAGGGGTAGCGAACAACTGGCACGCATGCCCATAAATGGCACACGACTTAATATTTTGGCTATGTTTATCATTAAAACACTCGGAATATGATGTAGATGCACCATGGAATTTACGTAATCGCAATCAACATTATTCGATGGCACGTCTAAGATCGTATTAAACATATGGCACTGATTCATAAATGTTGGCCACTCCTGGTTTAGGGGCACTGTTAAGATTATTATAAGCTACTTGGTACTAACTACCTAGTAGTTATTATAGTTTACTGGCAAATTATGAAATTATTAGCTTTTTTTGTATTATAAGGTAGCAAACGAGCAAGTGGCCACCTGAAACTGCCAAAATAGCAAAGCGACCGCTGCCTATAGACATCCGCAATTGAAGATGCATTGCCTACCCTTAATCGACGGAGGAGACGCACATAAAGAGGATATTTCCCCTTCCTACGCGTCTCCTCCACCGTCAAATCCTCTTTTCCTTACCATCCTTACCTCTTAAGGAAAGACTGGAAAGGAAAAGGCTTAGGCTAACACAGAATAGGTAAACGAAACAATCTTATCAAATTACATATTTATTTAAAAATTTCCATACACATGTTACCATAATTCATTCGCACATGGTTACTGAAACATAAATTTTAATTAAAACAGAATTTAACTGCAATTATAAAAAAAAAATTACACTTGGTTGTCCAATCATTTGATGAATTAAAGCTTTTTCTGTAAACAAGAATAACAATTCTTTATGAAGGAACCAGCTTTGGCACGCGGCTTCTTCCGCTCAGTAATTTAGACTACAAATTCTAACAAACATTCATCTAAACATTCGCATTTATAACAATAGTATGGTTGATTGAACTCGACAAAAACATACAACGACAAGAACACTACTGACGTCACCTAGCGGTAATTAAGGCTAGATGTAGAGAGGGTTACCAGGTATTATTAACATGGTCTTTACCCTACACCCGTGCGGAATGCTTAACAACTGCTGTTTGTCCATTTTTGTCATAACAGGGTAAGTCTCACTCGAGAGTCTAAAGGGTGCAGTGTGAGGGGAGATCGTGGGTCAGCCTCGAAGGGTTCCGTCCGTTCTGTGTCCTTTCCCCGAGGTACTGGAGTGATTTTGACGTGTTGGAGCACTTTAACAAGGCAGCATTTCATCTGAATCATAGCGAAGCGTTTACCTGAAATGAACAGAATCAGTATAAAAATTGATTTGACGTTTTTACTATTAGCCGAGGGAATGTACAGTCGCGAAACTCCGCAGTGTTCTACTTTAGGAATAGTTTTGTTCATTGCAACAAGACAAACTCCGTCTCTTCCTACAAATATAGTTTGATAGCAGTGAGTGCAAACCTTCGTTTGCATCCTATCTCTTCAGATAATAAAAAAAGAAACCAGCAGTGTGTCACTAACCGACTTTTGTTCGAACAGACATATTTATAAGCTGCTTTATATTGTTTTCGCCGTGTGTTGTTTTAAAATGTTCAAAAGACTAGATTTTAAGGTGGAACGACTCCAGTTTCCCGGACTGTAGGTACATTACGGGTCTGAAAATGTAGGATCAGAAACTAGTCGATACACACGGACTATGCATAAACTTAGTCGTTATTTAATGAATTATTATGAACAGTAATAGCATAATATATTAACAGGTATGAATGGTCTTATTACATTGTCTTTGTATACTTTGTATTGGATTTGATAAAAATAAAACAACACCCGTTTCGCATTTCTCTAAGTAAGCTTTCTGCGACAAGCGTTACGAACACATATACAATGTCAAGAAAAGGTTTGTTCTTTAATGCACGTAGACTTAACCCGCGTGGAATAAAAAAAAAACAAAAGTAATGGTGTTCTTTTTAGAATATTTTCCACGTCAAAACCAAAATTTATCGAGAACATAGTGCACATTGTCAGCGTATTTTGTGCCCCCGTGAACAATAACACCACCAACTCTTCAGTTTCGAGTTCGTCTCCGCCGACGCACAGCGTCTCCCCCGCACCCCCTGCGCCCCCCGTCCTGTCGAATCACACGTTGCGGGCTAGGGAACGCAGTGACCGTGGCAACGCGATAGCGAATAAAGCCGGCAACCACTCACCCTGAAGAAGAACCCCCTACGAGTTTGGAACTGGTCGATGTCTACACCGAAAGTTCCCACATGAGTTTTAGCCGTGTTAAAAATCATATAGTATAAAGTCTCACGAAAGTTTTAATAAATTATCATATTTGTGGACAAAATAAAAAATCTTTTCCTTGTGTGTACAATTGTTATGCTCACTCCATACTCTCAGTTTTTACTGAAGAATTTCAATTCTTCTTCTCGAATAGTTTGCTATTCGGTGAAAACTGTAACTATACGTTTGTAGACAAAATTTCTGTAATGGGCTTTATAAAAACCTACTTGTAAAAAAATAAGAATCGCTTTCATTCCAATTAATTCAAGAAGAAAATTTAAGTAAAGATTCTTTTGTTTTTAGTCGTATGTGGAACAAACCGATTCGTTATAAAGTCGCAAATGCTGACACGTGGAATGCGATATACAAAAACATTGATGGTACATTGAACACATTAGTTATATTACGTAAGCATGTTCTGTGCGAACACGATACCAACATCCTTCCCAGGTATTGTTGAATGAAATTGTATTACGTAATTACTTTGGTATTTAATTTGAGTACGAGCTGTCACAAGCATAATAGTCTTTTGAAATATTACATTTTTTACAAGTAAGTATTTTATTTTATTTTTATAACATAAGATGACAAATGAAGAGGCGGCCACCTGAATCCACCGAAATGGAAAGCGACCGCTGCCCATAAACATCCGCAATTGCAG